AATCTGTTTGTTTCTCATAATTAAACATCATCTGCAACTGGGAACCATAATAACAACTTTTATCACCCAACTGAATGGGCTATCATTATTCTTACCTATTTGCGAAGCAACTTTTAAGTTTCTCATAATTCAGGCTTTGTTTCTGCCTGTTTGGCTTCTTATGAAAAGCTTTAGCAAGCTGCCAACTCGTAAAAGGTCCTTGCAATAAGAAGTTAGGCAGCAAGGCTGCGGTCCTTTTGGAACGTCCCAGTGAGGGGTGTTTTTGTTTGCCCATCTAGCCCAGACTCCTTAGGCACGCCGAGGCCAAGGTTTGTTGCAGGTGCCGGTGGTGTCCGCCGGCGCGATGTCTGCCGTCCCGCATGCGGTCTCTGCACGTCCCTGGCATAAAACGTTGGATCGCTATACACCATAACAGGGCCTGGAAAGGTCTCCACCTGGCAGCGCTCCCGAGGGCTGGAATTTAACTGGGGGACACAGCGTCCCCGTCCTGGTCTGGAATCGGGGCGATTCCTTGTCGTGTGCAGGAGAGTGAGTATTTGCCACTGCAGTGAAGCGGTGCAGCTTTTACAGTCGCATAAGGCGCCTGTCTCTTGAGGCACAGTATTTAATTCCCGTGGAAACTCCCGGTGCGAGGGCTCCAGACGGCTTGAGACGCAGTGCCGGCTGCGAAAGCATGACATCGCGAAAGCTCCTGTGTTGACCCTTCCGAAGCGGGCTGTTAACTTGTGCCTCGTCACGAGCACCGTTGAACGGGAAAGAAACGGAGGCGGCGCCTTCCCTGGGACGGCGCTGGTGTCTCAGACTCACGGGTCGGGTGGGCCCTCGACGGGTGGGGGCGTGCGGCGGCCGCCATATAGGGACGGCCGTTCTGCAGAACTGGGGCCCCCGTTGGCGGGATCGACCCAGGCAGGAGGGCAGTCGCACCCGTTCTTGCGGCTGTGAGCGGAGACCGAAGACGGGAGGAGCGTGGCGGTTGAGGAGCTGTGCCTGTCCGTTGCGTGATAGGAGTGAGTGTGGCGGGTGCGAGTCTGTGCGGGGATGCAGTGAGTAATTTTACATGTGTTGGTGTGTGTGCGGTTGCATGTGCTGTGTGGTGTGTGTGTGGTGTGTGAGACTGGGGCATGTACTGTGTATAGTGGTGTTTCTGGGCATGTGGTATTATGTGTAGGCTGTATTTGTGGTGTGTGCCCTTACAATGTATGTTCTACGAGTGCGTGTGAGGTGTGTGTGTATGTGTAGGGGTGTCTCTGTAGGGTGCGTGTGAAGGATACCTCGGGCCTGTCTGTGCTGTGTGTATATGTGTGTCACTTGTGTAAAGGAGTGTGCATATGGTATGTGACATACGTGTGTGCATGTCTGTATTGTGTATATGTGTGCTCTTTTGAAGCAGTGTGCACTTGTGCTATAAATATGTGTGTGCATGTCTGCGTGTGTGTATGTGTGTCTGCCTTTGTGTAAAAGAGTGTGCATATGTGTGCATGTCCACATGTGTGTGATGTCTATGCTGTGGTGTTCTACTTGTGGTAAAGGAGTGTGCGTTTATGTACATAGTGTGGCATGTCTCTGCTGTGTGATATGTGTGTTGCTTTGTGTAAAGGGAGTGTGCATATGTGTGCATGTCACATACGTGTGTGGCATGTCTCTAGCTGTGTGTATGTGCTCTTTGTGTAAAGGACGTGTGGATTACTGTGTGCATTGTACATATGTGTGCATGTCTCTGCTGTGTGGGATATGTGTGGTCTGTCCTTTGTGTAAAGGAGTGTGCATATGTGTGCATGTATATAATGTGTGTGCATGTCTGTGCTGTGTTATGTGTGTCTGCTTTGTGTAAAGGAGTGTGCACATGTGTGTACATATGTGTGTGCATGTCTATGCTGTATGTATGTGTGTCCTGCTTTGTGTAAAGAGTGTGCATTTATTGTTATACATACATGCACACATGTCTGTGCTGTGTGTATTGCTTTGTGTAAAGGAGTGTGCATGTACGTATGTGCGAGCACATATGTGTGCATGTACATACATGCGTGCATGTTGTGCTGTGTGCGGGGGAGGGTGCGTGTATGTCCTGCTGTGTGGGAGTGTGCAGTGTGTGTCCCCGTGCCGCGTCTCTGTGCGTGAGCGTGAGGCACGTGCAGGGCGCCCCTCCCTGGGCAGCTCACTCGCCCGTGTCCTTCCTGAGCCCGGTCGTCCGCCCCTCGGTGGCCCTCCGGGTGCCGCACCCACTGAGGTCCGAGCGCTGTCCCAGGCCTGCGGTACTGTGAGGCGGACCCCGCGTCCCCGCTGGCGGTGCGGCTGGGCGGTGCTGCAAGAACGTCACTGCTATCGTGGAACCTTCCTATGACATTCCGACCCGTTAAATGGTGCCGTGAAACGGGTGAATTTTTGGGTTTGGATCAGTCTTCTCGCGCCCCGGGGAGCCGGGCACCCCCCGTGTGTGTCAGAGCAAGCCGACTCGCAGACTGGCGGCTGTCGGGGAGCCGTGTGCCGCGGGGTCCCGTCTCCACCGCGCAGGCGTTCCCGCAGGCTCAGTGCAACTGGACTTTCCAGGAGTGCCCGGGATTGGTTTATAACGAATCCTGCATTTTTCTAGGCACACAGGACAGTTCTTAGATTTTGCAAACCAAGTTGACAGACTCATTTGTCTCTTCTGGAGGTTTGGATGATCAATTTAATTTTCTTAGGTTTTCACTATTTTTTAATTTATTTTTTATTTTATTTTTTTTTTATTTTTTATTTTTATTTATATTTTATTTTAGTCTCGCTTTGTTGCCCAGGCTAGAGCGAGTGCCGTGGCGTCAGCCTAGCTCACAGCAACCTCAATCTCCTGGGCTCAGGCAATCCTCCTGCCTCAGCCTCCCGAGTAGCTGGGACTACAGGCATGCGCCACCATGCCCGGCTAAGTTTTTATATATATATTAGTTGGCCAATTAATTTCTTTCTTTTTATAGTAGAGACAGGGTCTTGCTCTTGCTCAGGCTGGCTTCGAGCTCCTGACCTCCAGCGATCCTCCCGCCTCGGCCTCCCAGAGTGCTGGGATTACAGGCGTGAGCCACCGCGCCCGGCCAGGATTTCACCTTTAAAAAGGGGACAGGGAACAAGGACAAAACAAACCCCTTGGGGCCCAGGTTCCAGCTCCTTTCACTTGCCCAGCGGTGAATGGACTAACGGGGGCTCCAGGCTCCGCGTGGGCTGCCGGGGTGGCTCCTCTCTGGCTCCCTGAGCACCTGTTGAGCTCACCTGGCCGGTGTCAGGAGGGTGTCCCCAGGGCCCTGAGGGGCTGCCGCTGCGGCCTGGCAAATGGGTTGGCACTGCGGGTACTTGCTGGCTGCCACGGGACTGGTTCCACGCCCTGGATGGCCTTCCTGGGCGTGATGAGTGTGCCTTGGACCATAGAATTCTAGTTTAAAAAAAAAATCGTCCAGGCATGGTGGCGGCTCACACCTGTCATCCCGGCACTTTGGCAGGCTGGGGTGGGAGGATCGCTTGAGGCCAGGAGTTTGAGACCAACCTGGGCAACATAGCAAGACCCCACCCTCTTACCAAAAAAAAAAATTAATAATAATAATAGTTCCAGTTAGGGACTGAAAATGGGGGGGAAAAAATCACAGACTTTCACGGTTGACTGGCTCCAAAGAGGAACACGAGGAAAACCCAAGTTCCAAAGTCCCACGTCTGTGCGTCCGTCTGCGCGGTGCTGGCCCGTCTGGCTTTTCTGTCTGGGTGAAAAGGAGACCAGTGACCCTCCTTGGCTGCTCTCTCCCAGGGCGGCACGATCATCGGCAGCGCGCGCTGCAAAGACTTCCTTAGCCGCGAGGGCCGGCTGAAGGCCGCCGGCAACCTGGTGCGGCTGGGCATCACCAACCTGTGCGTGATCGGCGGCGACGGCAGCCTCACCGGCGCCAACATCTTCCGAAAGGAGTGGAGAGGCCTGCTGCAGGAACTGGCCAAGAACGGTGGGTCCCGCGTCCGCGCCCGGGGGTCTCTCCAGGTTTTCTCTGCCCTCCTCATCCCCCCCCACGCCACCCCGGGTTTGTCTGTCTCCCGCTGTCCTCAGAGAGCTTGGGAGCAGGTGCCTTCTCCTTTTGGCCGTGGCAAGAGCAGCAGTGGCTGCACATCATTCGGTTCCCCATCTCGGGACGTTTTGCTCCTCAAATGACACAAACGGCGATAAAAATGATGCTCATTTTTAACCTGAGTACCCGCCGGGCACCGCTGGACCTTTCCCCAGGGCCAGTTTTGTGGCATTCTCGAAACAGCACTCAAAGAAAGACGGGTTTCAGGCCGGGCGCGGTGGCTCACGCCTGTCATCCCAGCACTCTGGGAGGCCGAGGAGGGCGATGCTCCCGAGCGTCAGGAGTTCCGAAACCAGCCTGAGCAAGAGCGGACCCCCGCTCTACCTAAAATAGAAATTAATTAAATTGGGCCAACTAAAAAGTATATAGAACAAAATTAGCCCCCGGGCACCGATGGTGCATGCCTCGTAGTCCC